GAGATGGTCTTAAAGCATGAATATAAAATTGTATAAATGAAAGAATATTTTACTGCAAGTCAGAAAATACCTTCCTTAAATCTTATCTGAAAAAAATTAAGACTAATCTTCCAAAATTCAAAAGACTCAAAAAGTTTGGAGCCAAGAAATTTAGCATACACTCACTTCACAGATATTTATTGTCAGGTACTAGGCTGGGTTTTAATTATTGTGTTGTGAACAAAACAATGATCCTTTCCTTCATGTAGTTTCTAAACCAGAGAGGGAAGAAACCATAAACACAGAAGCAAACAAACACTACTAAGTGCTATATGGGAAAGTAACAGAATTTTGAAAGAGAATACTGGGTGTTCACTAATTAAGGTTGGATTCTCAGGAAAGCCTTTTGTTGGAGGTGGTGTCTTAAATGAGAACTGAAAGATGAGGAAAAGCCAAAAGAACCATCATGGGGAAAAGCATTTTAACCAGAAGGAACAAGATGGTGAACATAATGAGATAAAAGAAAGATTGGTCTGCAAGAAACAACCTGTGGTGCTGGAATTTAGTGCAGTAAGCAAGGTAAGGATGGTTTCAGATGAGAATGGAGATATTGAGGAAGTCACTCAGAAGCGTGTAAGTCAAATTAGGAAGTGTGGAGAATTTTCCCGGTGCAATGAGAAGTCTTTGAGCATTTTAAAGCACAGAATAATATGATCCAATTGACATCTTGCAAAGACGACTCTGGCTACCGGGTAGAAAATAAGTTGGAGGGAGTCAAGGGTAAAAATAAGAGGACCAATAGCAAGACTGCTACAATGATTCAGGCAAGAAGTCAAGGTGGTTTGGAGAAGATTGGTGGCAGTGGGCTGGAGAGAAGTGAAAGGCTTTGCTAAATATCTGGCAAGTAGAATGGATGGTACTTGACAATAGATTGGATGGGAGGAGGGTGAGGGAGAGGAAGATTCCTTGGATTCTGGCTGGATAGTGAGATTAAGGAAGCTGGAAAGGAAACTCACTTGTGAGGGAAAAATTGGTAATAAGTTTTGAGAAAATTAAGTTTAAGATGCTTTTGAAACATCAAAGTAGATATGCCAAAAAAAGTGCGATGTACATCAATCTGGAGCTTAAAAGAGTTCTGAACTGGAGCTATACATTTGGAGATCACTGGAATAAAGATGTTATGTAAAGAGAGATCCTTTGTGACCTTTCTGAGAACAGTGTCAGTGGACTTGGGAGATGGATAGGCAGCGTCCAAATTACAGTGGGTTGAGGGGAAGTTGAGGCCACAGACAGCAGATATATACCATTATCTCAAGTAGTTTTGAGAAAAAGGAAGTAGAGAGGTTAGGAAAAGCTGAAGGGGAGGTGGGAGGGTAGAGTAGAGGTGTTTTGTGACGAGGGGAGTTTTCAGCTTGTTTTTAGGCTGTGAAAAAAGAGGTAGCAGAGAGGGTGAGACTGAGGATCTGAAATATCAGGGGTGTAGGTGTCTGTGAATTTGAGAAAATCAATTACTAGAGGAGGAAGAAGGGGGTCAGGGTCAGCTTATAAAAGGAAGAGGAGCACCCCTTCCTCTTAAATACAGGGGGCTAGCTTAGAATGGTGAGGATATAAGGGCATTTAGAAGAAGATGGCTGAGACTGCTGAGAGATTTCAGAACCGAAATGGATTCTATTTTTTTGGGGGGGTGGGGGAGGTACTGAGAGGTGGCACTATCTGCTGACAGTAAGGGTAAGATTAGGGTTGAGATTTTCTTCAATAGTTGCTGCAGAAAATATATAGGAAGAGGCATTAGACTCCTTCATGATTGTTGTCCCAAAGCCTTTCTATATTTCCATGAGGCTTGTGGCTATCAAACCTTTATGTGATAGCTTTATTGATTTCAAATTCCAAATCCCCTTAATACTAAATTCCTTGATTGACTTTTTTCCATGTGCCATTAACTCATTTTATAGCATCCCAGGGCTATGAAGCTATTAATGTGCTCCAAGTTCAAGGAAATTTTCAATTTAACAAGGCTTTATGGCCTTCCTAATTTTACTAGATTAGATGACGTTAAAGAAAGGCAAAACATCTTTAATATTTCTCAAAGGACCTGACCAAGGAAAACATTTCCCCATCCTTGGGATTGTAATGGAAGAGAATACAAACTAGTAAATTTTGTAAGGTAGGTAAAGTTTCTACTATATTGGTTACAAAAGTATGATTGGTTCAATCTTATATTGGTGAAATGTCTACTTTATCATTCCTTTTCCCCAACTGACACTATAACCACTCATTTGTAATCACTTTTAAGCTCAGTTATGGTCTTCATAAAATGGCAATTCAGGGAGATCTGTTTCAGCAAATAATGTAACACATGTTTTTTCTTGAAGAGTTAAAAATTAGATGGATAACAGATTCAGTATTTATTAACACTTAGCAGCATATTGATTATGTACTTAGGCAGGAATAAGCAAAGCTCATTTGGACTCCATATAATTGCCATATGTTACTTTGTCATTTGAAGTTATTACCCTTAAGATTTAAGATCTCTTTACATTGGTTTATCTATTGTTAAGAAGGGATACATCATAAGGAAAGTATTAGAGCTAAGCAATGTTGTCATTTGAGGCTTAAAATTTTTTCTTTTGGTAACGTCAGTGGAATCAGGACTACCTGGTTTCATGCATCCACAGACTACCCTTTATCCACAGTTGCAATCATTTGACCCTTGCCCTAAGAGCTAAATTCTGCTTCAGCTTCTGGGATCGACTCTAACCTTTATCGGGGATAATTTTAGGAAATATAGACCAGTCCTTTGGTTGATTCAGCATCCTCAATCTAGCTGGGAGTTGTTCTGATTGGTGCTATACTTCTAATCATTGACGTTCTGCTTCCTTGCTCAGCAGTTGATTACAGGATTCTATTATAGAGAATATATTACCTGGGCTTGAATCCTCACTTTACCACTATCCTTGCCTTGTTGCCCTGGGTAAGTTATTTTACTTCTCTGAGCCTCAGATACATTATCTCTCAAATGTTGTTAGAAAGACTTCTGTTACAGAGGTGTTATATTAATGCCTAGCTTTTGTCTGGCAAATAGAAGGCAGTTCCCTGTTTTTTCCCTTTCCCTCAAGTTCCTGTCTTCATACACTCCTCAATACACATATTCTTGCAGGCCTGAGTTTCTGCTTTGCTTTAGGTAAACATCTTTAGGGACTAGAGTTCTGTGATCTACTGTTGGATCACTTTATGATGGTCACTGTCTGCCTACAGTCCTATAAATTAACTGATCTTAGGGTCCCAGTTACCACGCCTCATCCATCTGCCCAGTTAACTGATTACATCTTACTGAATTGCCTCAATGTTTATCATATGCCTGGGTCACTACTTATTGCCTGACACCACATCTTATGATGACTTTGGACTCTCTGATTGTTTTGGCACCCCTCATCCCTGCTCCACAAAAGTTATGTTTAATTCTACCTCATTTATAGTTTTGGTCATTGTATGATATGATAAATGGACCTAAAAGTCATCTATTTTCTAATATGAATAAAGAAAATTGCCTTTTTAAAGAAAAATGTAAACCTATAATAATAGGAAGACTCACTATGCATTATAAAATAAAATATGCATTTTGGGAGAAAATGTTGATAATTTTAGCACTTGTAATTTATGCACAGAATCAGTTCAAGTACTCATCAAAATTCATTCTCCAAGTGAATGATGTAAACATAAGATCTTGGAATTCTGACAGACTGTCATATCCTTCCAGCATAAGCAAAGGTAAAAAATCACAATCAGTGGAAGAGAGGTCAAGGGTAAAAAGTAACTTATATGAATGAGCATCCTTCTCTTTCCATGTCAGTTTCAAAAGCTAATGATTTACTTGCTTAGATGAAGTTCTATCTTATTTATAAAATATTATTAACCAGTAATAAATGACTGGGTTTATATTTCATTCCTATAGTTTGAATTTGGTTGTCATTGGTGTTTAAACCAAAAGTCACCATTAATACTTTCATATATTAATAACTTTTAGCCAACCTATTTATATAATATAAATTCCAGGTTCTTGTGGTACTAGATTAATGTCTAGGTCTCAATCTATATATCTATATAAGCATCTTTATCTACTTCTATGTCTGTATTCAGTAAAACTAGAAAATGAATGTAATTACTTAATAATCAGACAATGGGGAATACATTTATTGTTTAATAATATTAGAGGATCACCTGGAATTTTCCCATTTTTCTTTACCACTTTGATGTTTAGATCTGGGAAGCATTTAAAATGATCTAAGTATCTGTCTATTCTCACATTACATTAAGTGGTATTGCAATGCTCTTAATTACCTATTGCACTTTCTGTGCCCCTGAAAACCAGGAAATAGCCTTGGCCTGGTATTCACAATAAATGGGATCAAATGTCTGCATATTGATGGTTGAGAAACAATGAAACCAAGATAATCAATCAGATTAAAACTTAGTGACTAAAATATTCTAATTGTTAAGAAAGCAATCAATGAAAAAACAGTTCAAGAGGACAAAGCTAAACCACAAGCCTCATGAATACCATTTATCATCTTGTTCTTCCCATGAAGAAAGACAATTGCACACGAGACTTTACCATAGTGTTTTTCTAAAAGACAACAATTTACAGTCCTTCAGGTGGACAGACATAGAGCCAAAAACAATCTCACAAAGTCTTTTCACATTGAAATATTTTTGCTCTCTTATTAACGTACCTTGGGTATTGGAAGGTCTTAGGAGAAATTCGATTCTGAGAAGGAGAAGGCATGAGTTTATAAATAGTCCAGCTAAAATAAGTGGACTTTCCTTAGTGGCTCAAAAAGATGATTGCATTGAAATGAACCTTAAGCCTCCAATACAGAGGAAAGTGTTACTGTGAACCCTTTGAAAAGTTGGCAGGGTAGTGTAGCTAAAAATATCCCGGTATCAATTACTCAGTACAAGGTGGAATTTAATTGGGTCAAGCAAACATCCCTCTTTTTTGTTCCCCTGTCCAAGTAACTCACAACTTTCAATTTCCAGGGTGCAGTTTTGTTCATCCAGAGGGTATCTTCGTAGATCCATCATACACGCAGCTGTGGTTGTGATCCTGTCAGGGTGAGAGAGAGAAAGGACAACATCGTAATGACGATGACTTTCATTTCCAGGCTTCCCAGCCCTGAATCATGCCTACCAGTTGGCATCAAAATTTTGTGATTAAAAATTTTGAAAGCAGGCAGACTGAATTTGAGTCTTTCTTTGCTGCTCACTAGCAGTGTGAGGTTGAGCTAGTTAATTTATCTCCAGGAGTCTCAGTCCCCTTATCAATCAAAACACTGACTGCATAGGATGGCTGTGAGGATTGAAAGAGATAATATATGCGAAGCCCTGAGCCCAGTGCTTCATACTTAGTAAGTGTCTCACAAATAATAGCTATTATTATAGCTATTATTATCTCAGGCCCTTCCTTTATTTACTAGCCTCCTAGCAATGTCTTTGCCGGTATCTGCAGCAAGTCTGGCTTTATGAGGAGAACATCTATGTTATGTGTCAAAGCCCACCTTCCTCTCCTGCTACAACCTAATGATAAAACAACAAAAGCAACAACAACAGCAAAATTCATCCTTCATGGCTTTTGATGCCTTACACTCCCCACTATTAGGGAGATTTGTCAGATTCACCTCTGAGACCCTGGTCTCCCTATATTCAGTAGATAGCATATAACCAATAAAGAAACATTATCCTGGGATCAGTGTTTACACCATATTTACCAACTCCAGTTTAGCTTATATATCTATGCAAACCCAAGGATCCTGACTCTAGATATCCTACCTGGGTTTCCACTATCCCTCCGTTTTCTCATGCCTGGGCTGGTTTTCTGGACTGTGGTGTCTTAGAGTAACTTAAATTCATATGGCTCGTCCACTCATACAAACATTTGATATCACGCTGGAATTGACAAAATACTTTTCTTAAAAAAACTATTTACATGGTCCCTTTTCACAAAGTAATGTATAATCACAATTTTAAAAATTCAAAATTCAAATTTAATAATAAGCTTCCTTTCTACCTTAAGCCCCAGGAGCTAAAACATTGGAAAATTTCCATACATACTCTGAATGCAAATAGAAGCCCAGTTATATCTTCTTATGGGTGAACTTCTTAAGAAGACTACCGCATACCCTGTTCTGAACCTAGCTTGTTTTCATTGACAGTGCATCTTGGATTTGGTTCTATATTAGTAAATGATAAGCTATTTGTAAAAAAAATTACTACGGAGTATTGAGTTGTATGGAAATGCCATAATTAATTTTCCTAATCACCCTGTAGGAGGCATTTATGTTGTTTCATATCTTTTACTTTTACAAATAAAGATGCTCTGAATATACTGGTACACTCTACTATATCTGACTACGTTGACTGGCTATTTCTAGAAAGGGAATTGTTGATAGAAAAAAGGTATATACATTTTAAATTCTGCCACATTGCTGTTCATAGAGGTTGAGCCAGTTTACACCCTCATCAACAGTGTATGTAAATTTGACAAAGTTCTTTTCATACCTTTGTTTTTTGAGGCTGTCAAGGAAAGTTATTGTTTTGGTCATTTGTGTTAACCTAACAGGCACCTTCTTCCTAAAAACATTACTAGGAATAACCCTAGACCTTCCCAATTTCTCTTTGGCTTTCTTTATGAAAGATGAAAGTAAAGATTCTCTTTGAAGGCTTTCTTAGACAGGATGCTGGTCAATTAATCAGACTGATTTGAGCATTAGGCAAGAGCAAAAGGAATTTTAAAATTTAATTAAAATTTTTTTTAAGTGTTCTACAAAAACTTTGAAGACTGGCTGTATTCCAGAATTTAGGACATAAAAGGATTACAATTCCACCACATTCTTTTTATGGTCTGCAAAGTGTTTCAAACACACTCAGTAAGACAACACAATAAATATTTTAAAATGCTTAAAAACATCATCTCTCTACTATATTATTTGTTTAATAGCTGCTTATGAATAAAAAAGTGTGAAGATGTGAATGTTCTCTAGGAATTACTAAGTGTGGCCATCCTTATGATCTTATGAAGTAGCCAATTCTTTTCAACCAGGGATAATTTTTACCAACAGGGGACATTTGACAATATCTGGAGACAGTTTTGATCATCGGGGTGGAGGGTGGATACTGGGCATCTAGTGGGTGGAGGCCAGGGATGCTGCTAAACATCCTACAGTGCCCGGGCCAGCACCCAACAATTAAGAATTATCTGTTCCAAAATGTCAGTAGTGCTATGGTTGAAAAACACTGCTAAAATGGTGCTTTCAAACATTTTTCCTCTGGGTTAAACTGTAATAAAATGAAATCTTATAGAGAACCTCAACATATAAAATACAAATGAAATAAGTGAAAGCCATATGTTGTTAATATAGATTTGCCATATAAGTTCAAATGTTGACATCCATTTTAATGAGCACACACATTTGAAAGCAGGAATTATGATGAGAATTATGGTCTTAAATCTCCCTCAGCACCAATTATTTTTGTGTTATATTTTATTTGTATGGTATTGAGAAAATCCTAACAAACATGGAAACACTTGCTTCTAAAATCTTACATGACCAGGCATGGGCTACCCTGAATTAGGGGGGAATATTACCTGTCTGCTTTGTAACTGTTGCTATTATCAATGGCAACTTTGCAGATGGTTCAGATACATTAATAGGTGATTGGTCTGTAGTAGGTACTTAGCAGTGGATTAAAAGGAAGCTTTACTTGGATAAAGCTTCTGCATAAGCTAATGCTTACTCTGCATAAGCTAACCTGGCAGCACAAGTTAATATTATGATGGTCTTGAATGCATTAAAATGTGGCGTAGGCTCTAGGTCCATCTACCTCATCAGAAAGAGAAAAACAAATACCATATGATAACACATATATATGGAATCTAAAAAAAAAAAAAAAAAGGTTCTGAAGAACCTAGGGGCAGGACAGGAATAAAGACATGGAGAATGGACTTGAGGACACGGGGAGGGGGAAGGGTAAGCTGGGATGAAGTGAGAGAGTGGGGTGGACATATATACACTACCAAATGTAAAATAGATAGCTAGTGGGAAGCAGCTGCATAGCACAGGGAGATCAGCTCGGTGCTTTGTGACCACCTAGAGGGGTGGGATAGGGAGGGTGGGAAGAGACGCAAGAGGGAGGAGATATGGGGATATATGTATATGTATAGCTGATTCACTTTGTTATAAAGCAGAAACTAACACACCATTGTAAAGCAATTATACTCCAATAAAGATGTTAAAAAAAAATGTGGCAGGCTTTCCTGGTGGTGCAGTGGTTGAGAGTCCGCCTGTCGATGCAGGGGACACGGGTTCGTGCCCCGGTCCGGGAGGATCCCACATGCCACGGAGCGGCTGTGCCCATGAGCCATGGTCACTGAGCCTGCGCGTCCGGAGCCTGTGCTCCGCAACGGGAGAGGCCACAACAGTGAGAGGCCCGCGTACCGAAAGTGGCATAGGACACATTACAGTGTACATGCTTATAGTTTAAAAATAATTATAATATTTAAAAATGAAATTGAAATAAAATATGTGTGGAACTGTTAAAGAGCTTTTGGGATACTTGATAACATCATTTGAGCTCCACTGGTCAGCTTTCCTCATTTAATTGACATCATTTTTAGACACATGTCATCTGGTTAGTTAACCACATCATATGAAAAGCAGGACATGCTGAATCACTGATTCACACAGTATAAGGCTCTGGAGTTTTTACAAAGCAATTTGAAAAGTCAACAAAACATTGTCTGTAAAATGAATAACGTGTCTCAGGTATTTGGGTACTACAGTTGTGAGTGGTGAAAAAACAGCTTTTGGAAAGCATAACTGAATTGACTGTTGCTATCTATCATGATCGATCTATTCGGCAATCAATAAATATGAGAAATTTAATTTATATCACCTTGGGAAACTGCACATCACACCAGAAGCTTGCCCATGACCTGATGATTTTTCAACAATGATCGCCTGTGTGAATTCGCTTCTCCTGCCCCAAATCCCATTAAGATACCAAAGAGAGTTGAGTCATCACAACACAGAAAGAGAGGAAACTTGGAACTTGAGCTGCAGGAAGTGCCTGACTTTCTCTGTAGAGCACTGACATTAGTGAAACAACTTCCTTCTTGGGATCTATCTTTTCCAAATTTTGAATCCTCAAGAGGATTTCATTGGTTCAACTTGGATTAGGTGCTAACACTCCCCAAATTATTTATTAAGGGCTGGAAGGAAAGCTACACACATACAAGTATGGTCACCAGGTACCTGAAAGGGTCTCTTATCTAAGAAGAGAGGGATCATTGAGACTCACTCAGACAGGGACCCCTCTACAAGTAGGTACTCATAAATTCATGATGTGGCCCATAGAAATTTATGCAACAGAATGTCAGTCTCTTGCTAATTTAAGAGTTTGGCATTTCTAGATTTTGTAATATGTATGAGTGAGTTGAGTATCCTGAGCTCTTTGTGAGAAAAATTACTCAGCAAGAATTCCCAGGTGCATCAAGAAAAAGAGAGATGTCCCTGGGCAGAGTGCTGTCCAGCTCTTGTCTTCTGGGTGTGAAGCAACAATGAACATCTCGAAGAATGACTGTTCTCTGTATTCCATTTGTTTGCCTTGCCTAATGCAATTGCTCAGCAGTGGTTAGTCACCTCTACAACTAATTAACACATCTTCATGGAAATGTTCTCACATCGTGGCTAAAGCAGCCTGATATTCAAAATCTTCTATGGAGTCAAAGGTGCCAAAGATCACAAAACTGGACAGGTTGAGAGCTTCAAGACTGAAGCATTTTTTTGAATTTTAACTGTTCACACTCAAGTCATTCATTCTCAGTGTGTGAAAATATGATTATTGGTGGATAGCAAATGAAAGTATAATAGAGTAGAACCGGCAAAAGGCAAAAGTGTTAACTGACTGTTTTTCTGAACTCAGACTTCTCAGAGGTACAGATTCACGACAGCGTAACAGTCATGTCTTCTTTCAAAGACATTTAGAATGACTTACATTATCATCCAATTTATTGACATTTTGAAGGCTAGGTCAGAACACTGTAAT